ATCATTACATGAGAACATATGGTGGTGATTTTTTTATACTAGATATAGAAATAATTGAGAACAAATAATTATTATTGTCCATGATCTCTAACAATCTTCTTTAGACTTGGATGATTAGAAGTTCATTCTTGATCAAAGGATAAATATAAATGTGAGGATTTAAAAAAATTAATATGCCATAGTATTAAAATAACAAATGATTAAACCTATTGACGCGGGTTTTAAATTGAAGGGAATATGAAATCAAAAACCTTTTTGTTAACAAATTAGCATTGTTCATATTATTGAAAATATAAAGCTTGGGTTTATCTTCCCTTCAGATTAGGAAGATGGGCATCATATAATATTGGTTTAATAGATTTCAACTTTTTCAATCACACGTAACTTTTTGAAAAGGGGAAGCACTATGAAGAGACTCTCTACACGTTCATGAATGTATCTATTTGCTTGATTGATGGCATTAAATGAGATATTTTAATCAGATGAAAAATCCATCCTCCTTCCTCTCCCCCTCCCCCCTTGCCCCTCTCCACATCTATTCAATCATTTTATTGTAATTTTACTTATGGGAGTCATAAAAATAGCTTGGGACAGAGCTAGAAAGTTGTGAGGGAGTTTCATTATATTTCTTTGGTAAAAGAAGAGGACCTCATGATTGCTCACGAAGATCCCCATTAGTTCATGGAATCGTCACCTTAATAAACTTAATTTGGGCCATAAAATTGGAAAATGGGTTCATATGTTAAGGGCTAATTGAAACAAGTTTAAAATAGCAAGGCCAAGTCAATTCTTTAGGCTAATTTGGCTTCTATGACATGGATAGGAAAAGTAGGATTGTTTTTGTCGAGATGGGTTGGAGCCATATTTAACATGATTAGCCATATCATGCCAAGCTATGTTGTCTTAAATTGGGTCCAATGCACTTTGGATCACTAGGGTAAGGTCAATTTGGGTCATACTGTGATACATAATCTTAATTGGCCCAAATGGGCAAACTTTTGCACCTTTAAGCAACTTGATCTTAGGCATTGTAATTTGTAAAATTAACGCTTTAATTGGACTCTTTAAATCACTATACGTAAAGTCTAATAAGAACTAAGGTCAATTTGTTCTTACCAATTCTGATTAAATCTAATTTGGTTGTGCTGGCCAAAGGGTTCAATTTTGATCAACTTTGGCTCTTGGCATTAAGTGGCCAAATCAAGGCTTGATTTAAGCTCCTATGACAACCATAGATCATGTATAAAGTAATTAGGTGCTAAATTTACTTATTGGGTCAACTTCAACTCAAATTGGTCAAAAAGACCAAATGGCTTCAATTAGATTGATTTAATTTGGGCAACTAAAGGTCTAGCTTAGAATTAACATGAGTCTAATAGCCACCACCTCTCTTTCCTTAGTAACTTTAATGCCACACTATCTTAATCAGCCTTCGCCAAATTTCTTTTTATGCATATACAATTATGCTAAAATGCTTTCCTAGAACATTGATATTTATGTTGTGCTTTTTATTGGCACCTAGCATCTGTGTCCCCAATGTCATCATAACATCATCGATCACCTTAGGAGGTTGATTGATGTTTTTCAATGAATAGAAAGGTTGATCGAACCATTGATGATAGAAGCTAATTTAGGTTGCTAAGCCTAAGTTTTGTTATGAAGTTTGGTTAAATAAAGTATTACAGTATAAATTAGATGGCAAGTACAAAAGTATTTTTTAAAAATAGCGTAAATTTATGAGAAATGTGTGGTTTATATTCTTAGGGATACAATTTACTCAAATATATATTAGTAAGGATTTTAAAGAGCTGGTTTCAATTCCATGCTAGCTTAAAATTTTAGGTTGATGCTATCTGTAAGAATAAAATTTTCAAGCAAAAATTTAATTAGAAATCATCTTATAATATAAAAATCTAATTTCTTTATATATTAAATTAATTTCTTTTTTGAATTTTTGTACATCTTGAAGAATGACCCTATTAATTTCTTAGAAGTACTAATCAAACCCTATTTGTAGCTATGACTCATTAGGCAGAGAAGTGTAATATGAATGAGATTTAGGGTTTGTTTGGAGCAACTGGAGCTTATTAATATGCGACTGAAAAATAAATTGTTCAAAAAACTGCGGTAGCTATTACATTTTTTTCGGAAAAACCAAACCGCAGCTAGAAAACTGTCACCGCATCTAGCCAAGAACTGTGTAAAAATATTGATTTTAATATTTTGAAAATGTAATTTTTTGAAAAAAAACTATCAAAATGTAGTTTACCCACATGGTCCTTTAATTTGATTTAATTGCTTCCATAAATTAATGCCTCCAGAAAACTGTCACTGCATCTAGCCAAGAACTGTGTAAAAATGCTGATTTTAATGTTTTGAAAATGCAATTTTTTGAAAAAAACTACCAAAATATAGTTTAAGCAGATGGTCCTCTAATTTGATTTAATTGCTTCCATAAATTAATGCCTCCATTACCACTATTACCAACCAACCATTTGGACTCTTAATTAAATAAAACATAAATATAATCATTCCCACTTTTCAAGAGAAGTTGAAGCATCACTCTGAACTTACAATCTAATACAAATGTCATTCTTTTGTCTTATATTTTGTATTAATTAAATTTCTTCTTATATTCGGTTGATTACAAAATTCATCTTTTCATATATAAATAACGTGATATATATACAAGATGGGTTTCAAAATTTAAAGAGGGGGGGCCAAATTAAAAATCAACTAAAATATATTAAAATTAAAATTTATTTTCTAAAGATAAATAAATAAATGGATGAAATGAAATGAAAAAAAAATCTGAGAATAACTTGTAAAATAAAATAAAGATCTCTTTTAATCTAATATATTAAGAAAAAAATAGTCAGAGGCTATTATACGAGCCCTGATTATCCCTCATGTGCCTAAGAATTCGAGTACCACACCCTACACTGGAGGGGAACCGATCCCCAGACCAGAGGGGAGTTACAACTGAGAAGCAGATGTCCAACAAACTCATCTGAGTGCACGACACAAATATAATAAAGAAGACATTCTTCATCTTAAATTTTCAAGATGTTTGATTATTAATACTAAATGTATTGCATTCAAGCTACATTATGACATACTTTATCATGCATGATAAAAATCATCTGTAGTTTTTAAAATTTTCTATCTTAAGATGTAGATTAAAAAAAAATGAGTTTATTACATTATAGGCTCCATTTAGGGGTGTAAACGAGCCGAATATGAGCGAGCCCAGGCTCAACTCGTGTTCGACTCGTTTATATTTCGAGCTCAAAAAGTGTGTTCATGTTCGGCTCGTTTGCTTAGCGAGCAGAACACGAGTTGTTCACGAACAAAGAGTTGATTTGATAACCCTAATCATGTAGCCATAAGATGTTAAATGTTGGGGCAAGATTTAAAAATTAATGTTTATATTAAAAAATCATTTGAATCTAATTTAATAATGTTTATTCTGACGCTTATTCTATTTTCTTAATTAATACTTTTAATTAATTATAAATTTTTGTAGCCTTGTAGTTAATTAATTTTTTTTTTAAATACTACTCATCAATAAAGGATGAGTGATATTTCGAGCCAAAACGAGTCGAACACGAACGAACAAATCTTTGTTCGTGTTCGACTTATTTATATATCGAGCACAAAAAAGTGCTCATGTTCGGCTCGTTAACTTACCGCTAAGTTAACTTTGCGAACGAGCCGAAAACGAGCTGTTCGCGAATAACAAGCCGTTTTTACAGCCCTAGCTCCATTAGCTCAGTAGGGTGTCAATTCAGGTCAGCGGATGGGGTTTGAGTCCGCCCCAAAAATGACCCAACTTGGATAGGGTCAACCCGAACTAACTCGAATAATAAACATGCCAAAAACTAAGGTCCGAACCCTACTCAAGCTTGAACCGTTAACCCAAACCCGCCCCAAACTTTCGTGCTTATTCAGGTCATATTTGAGTTTTAAAGTTCAACCCAAACATGACTCGAATAATAAACGAATCGAATTTTTTTACTTGAACTTGGTTAAAAAAATATTTGGGTCTACCCTAACCAAGATTTTTTGAATCAAGTTCGAGTCGTGTTGGTATGTCGGGTCAATTTTTGACAGCCTTAATTAGCCTTATTTATCTGACATCATACATTTTCTTCTTTAATAACTTCTTCAAAAACAACATGGTTGATATCATACACATTCACCAAAATAAAGAGAACTCAAATGTGACCCATAATATGTATCTCATGTATGTTTTAATGTACCATTCGCTGCATATACATCATACTTTTGCTAATTACTTTAAAATGACTTTTATTTAGCATTTAATATTTAAAAAAAAAATGAATTATATACTTAAATTTATGAGATAATGATAATATTTTTGAGAAATTATTTAAATGAACTCCTAAATTAAAATATAATTATTACTAAAATTATAAATTTTAAGGGGGCATAATTTTTTTTGTATAACTTGATATTACATAGTCATTTATATTCTAAGGGGCATTTAATTTTAGGGAGGCCAAAACTTTTAGTATATATTGCATAATTATTAAAAATTAATTTTGCTCATAATAATTATAATTAATAGCAAAATTTTAAGAAAATAAAATTCCAACTAACCATCATATAAAAATACATCTACTTCCCTCATTCCTTCCTAATCTACTCTGATAGGGACTAAGTGCAGAGAAAACAAGAGTGGACTAAAAACCATGCATTTACTCTTCATTTTTACATTATCTGTTCGATCGCTCTCAGATTCCCCTCATCGCCCCACTTTAAAGACCATTTCTCTCATCCCCCCAACTCCTATAAAAAGAACAGAAACCACCATAACTTCATCACACACAACTAGCAACAAGCTAATTAAGACATTAAGAAATCAAAAAAAGCAACAATGGGTCCATACTTTTAATTCCAATGTTTCAAATTCATGCTAATCATGAAATATTAGGCATGGAGTCTGCATCTGTTGTACAATGAACAATACACAACATGTTTGTACAAGAAGTCCGCATGCATGCAGACTTCACACGTAATATTCTCTTTATGCTGACACAGTTCATGCTTCTTTGATTCGTGCGAGCAGAAACGGTGACCGATTCTTCCAGCAATCTTGCTCCCATGAAGGCTTTCCTTGTGTCGGATGAGTTGTTGGGCACCTTTGTGCCAATTGCTGTATATTGGATATACTCAGGCTTTTATGTATTGGTTGCAGACTTGCAGGAGTACAGGCTTCACACCAAGGCTGAAGAAGACAAAAAGAATGTTGTTTCAAAGATGGCCGTTGTGAAGGGCGTCCTTATTCAGCAAGCCTTCCAAATAGCCGTCTCCCTCCTACTCTTCACTGTATGCATATGTATATATGACAACCTCTAAATTAATTATTCATGCACTTTCTTCATTATGTTAATCAATTTTGCTTTATGTTGTATGTAGCTCATGAGAAGTGATAGTAAGGCTATGCTTCATCAGCCTTCCCTTCATGTTATCATTCTTCAATTCATGGTGGCCATGGTGGTGATGGACACGTGGCAATACTTCATGCACCGGCTCATGCACGTCAATAAATTCTTGTACAAACACATACACTCGACGCACCATGCCCTCGTTGTCCCCTACCCTTATGGAGCTATCTACAACCACTTACTTGAAGGGATCATTATCGATATCATTGGGGGAGTTCTATCCTTCCTCGTTGCTGGGATGACACCTCGTACTGCTATATTCTTTTTCTCGTTTGCGGTCATCAAAGGTGTGGACGACCATAGTGGTATGTGGCTTCCTGGAAACTTGCTGCATGTTTTCTTCAACAATAATAGTGCTTATCATGACATTCACCATCAGCTCTATGGCACAAAGTATAATTTTTCTCAGCCTTTCTTTGTCACTTGGGATAAGATTCTTGGGACTCATATGCCCTACACGCTTGAGAAGAGAATGGAAGGAGGATTTGAGGCCCGTCCGATCAAGAAGATTAATTGAATATTGTCTTGAGAATTGTTTGGTAGCATGTCTTACATGCTTGTTATTACAAGTTATTGTGAGATAAAAGTATGTGTATGTATGTTTGTGTGTGTAGCTAATTAAATAATATAGGTATCCATCCACCTTTACAATTATATAAAATTATGTGTGATGGGATTGAGTGCCGAAGTTTTTATTCGAATATATTATCTATGTTTTTAATTTTCTCTTATGATCAATTCTCTCTCTCTCTCTTTTTCCCTCTCCTTCTCTCTCTATCAATTTTTTGGTGTAAATTGGGCGAAAAATTTATGTCAGGATGATGGATCTGTGGTTGACAGCGTGAATATCGTATCACACCGCCAAATGCACGATGTAGTGCAATCTAGTCCATCATATGCACATCCAATAAACAAGAGGTAAAACTTTCTTATAAATTAGGGTCAAACTCTAGTTAAATAAAGTAAAAAAAAATTATAGATAAATATGTTAGATAATTCAAGCGAGGAAAGGTGACAAATAAAATGCTCGACCCAATAAACTTGCCACAACGACAAACAAAAAAAAATCACGTTTGACATCCAAACACAAAATTACGTCCGGGCGATAATAGTATTTTGCCAAATGGCCGGACCCGTTTATCCCAAAAATAAGCAGAAAATATGCAGAATCAAAGCTACGCACACCAAGAAAAAATCCGCTTTTTTTCATCTTATTTTTTAGGATGGGTTGGTTCGACCACATGACGAAATATTATCGACATCCATAATATTTTTCCCGCAACGATAGCATGAAACGATATGCTTTGACAAAGTCAAAAGAAACGCCTAAAAACACAGAACTCACCACAGGATATTATAACCAACATATTTCAACAAACATTTTGATACTTAATAATTTTAAACCGGTGAGCTTAATTAGATACATAGTTCATGAATTACATGAACACATAATTTCTTCCATGGAATATCTTAAAAGAAGAAAAAGAAGATCCATAGTTCATGAATTACAACAACTTCGACTTATTATTGTTATATGTTGTGTCCGGATAAAAATACAATAAAAAAGTAATAACAATGTCTAATGAAAAAGCAAGAAAAAATAACAATTTCATAGAAAAACTACATGAAATTAACATAAACATAAGTACTTTATGTAATCAAAAGTATCAAACGAAAAATTACTGTTGAAATACCTATTCTAGGAGAAAATATTACGTGTGGATGACAGTATGGATCACACTATGCAGCCAAACGCTCAGCGTGGTGCCATCCAGCCATCGTCCTAAAATATTATTAATATTATTTGCAAGACGTAATATTTGCTTTCATTCATGGTGCCATCCAGCCATCGTCCTAAAATATTATTTGCAAGACGTAATATTTGCTTTCATTCTTGAGATAGTCGCCTACTAACAATGATAGAGGAAAGCAAAAAAAAAAAAAAAAAATTATAATGAAATGTTAGATAATTAAAATCCAGCTAAGAACTCCTATTTCTTAAAGCATAATTGATGAAGTTCTGAACTGTGCAACATAAACAATAAGAAGGCATGATTCTATAATAGAAGTATAATAAGTGTTCTCAAATTAATTGAATACATTATTATTTATTGCATAAATGAATAGTATTACATATTCTTATATGGTTTTCAGTATGGTGATTCTGATCATAATCATGGTGTTTTGATAAAATGTCAATAATGTTTGTTTATTCTAAAATATCTATATGTAACCATATTAAATATAAGGAAGATTCACATACATACCACTCAATTCCTATGTATTTGCATGTCTAACACCTAAAATTTAATTTTTACATGCATGACACATTCCTATGCATAAGAAGGTGCATTTCACCTTTTTTTTTAACTTAAGTGATGACATTTTTATGTGATATGAAAATTTTTTGGGTGTATTAATGTAAAAATTAAATTTTAGGTGTTAGATATGTAAATACATCAGAATTGGTTGGTTAGTATGTAAACTACATTTCTAAAGGCGACACATCACTTATATATATATATATATATATATCTATATATCGACATAATCAATTTTATTAACATAACTGACCTTGGGGAGGTTAAATACCAACCCTTATTAAATTGATAATTTTTGATTGAGTCATTATTTTGTAGGCTCATAAATTAACTCAAGGAGCTCACACTACATGAATACATGCAAATAGCATTTGGATTAGTTTCTGAAATTTTTCGATCTAATTTTTTGCATATGAGTTCCATTGAATATTATTATTGGTAGAATGTACGCCGGAAATGTCCAGGACAAATAAATTGTGTCAGAAATACTAGTGGTAATGTGCAATGTATAACTTTTCACTTAATAGTGAGTATTGGTAGGTATTTCTGTCACAAAATTTTAGGCTCAGAAAGTTCTGATTAATCAGACGCAAGGCTCTTAAACACCAAGTCCCACCTTCGCGAGTATCTCATTAGTGCTCTCGTCTTTCAAAACTATATGATTCCCATGATTTCCTATCAGGCGACCCGTGACATCATTTAGCATCGGCGATTCGCGTGACTCAAGTGGTTCCCTTTCCAAGAGGTAGCCGACCATTGACTGAAGTGTTTGAAAAACCAAGGGATAATTAGGGTAGTAACCAACTTATGGATTTTCTAAAAAGGGTTAAAAATGCAAATATTTGAATTGTTGGATAAAGGAAGATGTACACATTTGGATGAATAGGTGGTGAGGGGTATGGATTAGAAGCCTCCTAATTAATTAATTTAAACCACAATCATTGGTTGAAGAGATTTTTGTACTCCTTTTAATGAAGATCAAATAGATTTTATAAATGCTTTCTACAATTACAAGTTTGTCCATAAGCCCTAAGAGCATTGTAGTGAGTTAGGCTTAACTCAAGATCATTGAGGACTAAAGCAAAGTTTGTCAAGAAAATATAATTATTGATGAGACATCATAAATACTATAAGCTCAAGCTAAAACTAGGGGTGAAATTGTAAAACTCTCTAATATTTGCTAGGAGCTTAATGTCACCTCCCAAAAGAGCCCTTATGGGTGGTGGGCAGCCCAGGACTTAAATATTGCTTTTCGGCCCTACACCTAGCCAATGTGAGACTATTTGTCCGTGACATTCTACTCCACCCAATCACGTGACGCCCTCGTCACGGATCGGCTCCCCCGGGCGTCCCACTGGCACC